AGAAGGGGTGATACCCTTATTCTGGATGCTTCTGGCTCTGCCTCCCTCCTCTCAGCTGAGTAGGCCCCTCTCGGGGCTCGGCACCCTCATCCAGATCTTTAATCCCAGCTGTGTCCCAAGGCCCAAATGTGGTTCTTCTGTTCGCTTGGTGGCACGAACTCTGACTCAATTTCCATGTCAGCAAGATGGAAAGAACAAACACGGCCCTCCTTATTCCTGAAATTGTTACACGCTGTGCTTCTGCAATGCTTGGAGCTTTCTGGAGAAGGAGGCTGGGAGTGGCTGGGCTGAGCTCTTCCAAGGAGCAGTAGGCAGAGCGGGTAGGGAGGAGGCCTAGACAGGAGGCAGATTCCTGGTTTGGCTGTGATCCTCGGGAAAGTCATGGCTCCTTTTTGGGCCTCAGTTTCTACATCTGGAAAGGACGGGGCAGGACTAGATGATTTCTCGGTGCCTCCGGATTTAATGTTCTAGAATTCTGTGATTGTTGAGGGCTGAGTCCCTAGGCCAGTTCACTAGTGTCTGGTGACCTCTGCTCTGTGGAGCCCAGTCGATCCCATGCCCACCCTGCTCAGTTTACCATTTTATGACTCTTCTCTGGGAATGGCACCACATGAGAACTAAGCTGAACGCAGCACAGCCCAGGCCTGGGGAAGGTCGGCTCTGCCCCCTCATGGCCATTTGTGGACTTGCTGTCCCTTTTCTGCTAATCTGTCAGCTCCACTGGGGTGGCCTGTGTCCCCACACCTCTCCACCATATGCCAGGTGTCCCAGGCAGCAGGAGTGTGTGCTGCCAGGTGTCTTGGGCAGCAGGAGAGTGTGCTGGGAAGCACAGGCGCTTTGGCTTTGTGTAGGTCTGGGGCTCCATCCTGAACTTTGCTACTTAATAATAATAATAATATCTCTAATTTATTGGGGGCTTATTCTGTGCTAGGTACCATGTCAAATTTAATACAATAACTCTGTGAGGTATTATCACCATTCTACAGATGAGAAAACTGAGGTTCAGGGACATCCCACCTACTGTGTCTTTGCTTAAATGCCTCTTTCTCAGCCAGGCCCACCCTGACCCGCCCTTTATTTAAATGGCATTCTGCCTCCATCCCTGCACTCCCAAATTGCCTTAATGCTGCTCTTCTCCCCCATCCCCCACGGCACTTAGCATCTTCCAGCCTACTACATATTTGCCTTATTATGTTTCCTGTTTGGTGCCTGCCACGTGTTGCTAGGGCAGGAATCTTTGCCAGTATTGTTTAGAGACGTGTATCCCAAGCCACTACATCGATGCTCAGCACAGACATAGTAGGCGTCCAATCAGTGTATGTTGAGTGAACGTCTGGTTAAATAACTTGCTCAGGTGTCAGTCACTTGGAGGCTGCACAGCACAAGGCTTAAGAATCCAGGTTTTGGAGCCAAATAGTTGCGGGTTTGAGTGACAGCCCTCGCCACTTCAGCAAGCTGCGTGACTTTGGGTAACTTACTTTCTGAGCCTCAGTTTCTTTGGTAATAAATAGACTAATAACATTTATCTTGTAGGATGGGTGTGAGGATTAATGGAGACATGTATGTAAAGTTCTCGGCATGTGGTAGGCATTCCGCAAATGTTAGCTGCTTTCCCCGAGGGTGTTTTTCTCTCTTCTTGCTTCTCATTTTTCCTCTGATGGCCTCCCCTTTGACCACTTCACTGTTCAACAGCAGTTCCTTGAGGACAAGCTGCCGAAGGAGGGGGCTGGCATTCTCTGTGGTGTGAACCAGTCCATGCCCTCTGCACCTCCTTCCTCCTCCCAGGATGTGCTGTTGCTAAGGAGACGCAACGTCAGCCCTGGGCAGGTGTCTGGCCCCTGCAGCTGGAGTTCTGGCCACACAGAAGGAGTGGGAAGATGGATGGACCCCGGGGGAGGGAGAGAAGGGGAGGAACCGGGTTTGCCTCCTGGGCTGGGAGTCTGGGTGGGGGTATCAGTCTGGAATCTGCTGGAAAAACAGCTGCTCCCTCAGAAAATGAAGTGTTCATCCTCCTGTCTCCATGTGGCTCTTAAGGGTGGAGTGGAGCTCTTGCTTAGGCTGAGATCCAATGGCATTGGTCTAGGTGTGATGCCCAGACCCTGGGAGGGGGCCATAGCAGCCAGAGTGACACATAATCAAACTCCTGGCCCTCAGAATGGCACCTTCCCAGAGCACGGCTGGCAACTTGTAGATGCTCAAAGAAGCCTCGTGGACACTTCACCATCATGCACCAGCCAAGGTGGCCAGGCTTGCCGGGCGGGGGCTCCCAACACAGGCACTGCCGTTTCTTCTTGCAGCCTCGAACATGACCGTGGCCCTCCAGGGGCTCCTTCCCAACCCAGCCCTCAACTCTGGGCAGCATGAGAGACTGTGGCTTTTGCATAAACCAGCAAGCTACCTCGATTTAGGAAGGAAACAGTGGAAGTGTAGAGCCCAGGCTGGGAAGCCAGACTGCCCGGCACCCACCCTGCCTTTGTCCCAGCTGTGTGACCACTGACAAACCACTTAGCTTATCTACTAAATTGGGATAATTATAGCACTTTCCTCTAGGGATTGTTGTGAGGATTAAACGAGTTGATTCTTGTAAAGAGTTTGATCTGATTCAGACACACCAGGCTCAGTAAATGTAAGCTATTACTGTCATTTTAAGAGGTATACTCCTGGGAAGAGGGAGTATTTTTGGACAAAATAAAAATGGTATTATTATTATTATTACACTTTTCCTGAAAAATGGGACATTCTGGTGGCACAAGCCCACCTCCTGCGCAGCTGGAGTGAGCCGTGGCTGCCTCCTTCAGATGAGGCCCCAGCTCCTCCACTGGCATAATCCCTTCCCGGCCCATTTCATTACTTGCCTATCCCTGAAGGTATTTTCTATTTTTCTTACAAATTCAAGTCCAGCATAAGCCAATAAAGATGTCAGGAGCCCAAATGGGGCTAAGGGACAGAGAGAGGACTGACTTGTCTGTGCTCAGGAGGGGAAGGCGAGGGTTTGGACCCTCGTAGGTTTCCGAGGAAGAGGAATTAGAAGAAAGAGGGGACGGGAAGGCAGAGCCTGGCTAGCCTGGGTGTGGCTTTGGCCCACACATCTGTGGCCAGCATAGCACAGACCAGAGGATGCACTGACCTTGAGGCACCTGGCTCAGAAAACCTGGATTCCTGGCCCTGTTTTGGGGCAGGTAATGTTGTGTTGGTCAGTACCCGCCTGCTGTCTGTATCTTTCACCCTCGTGTTTCTTCTAGCACAAACATCTTGGGTGCAGGGGACTTGATCCCAGCATTGGAGGAACCTTGTCACATTCTTCACAGGAGGGGGCCAAGTGCTTGTTAAGAAATGCTTGCTGAATGAATATATGGATGAATGAATGTAGACAGCTTGCTTTCTGGTATAGCAACCCAAGAATGTAGCTAGACTTTTCAGAAAGCCCCTTGGTATCCCACTCCCATCCCATGCACTTGGCTCCTCCATGAGGCCAGAGGGAAGGTGGTGCGGGGGCAGCAACCTTGTTACCTTTACTTAGCTTTGTATGCCTAGAGCCTAGCTCAGTACCTGGCACATAGTAGGTGTTCAACCAATATTTGTTGGATGAATAAATGAATCAAATGGAAAGCCTTCTTACTCTGGAGTCCAAAGGCTGTAGTTGTGCTTTTAACAACTGGGTGGACTTTGAACTCCTCTTTGCATCTCATCTGGACTCACCCACCAAGGAGGGTAAAACAACAGATACCCTGTTACGTGAAACTCAATGCGTGGTGATTCATGGTTATCACGTATAAGACATTCTCCGAAGTTTCCCGTCATCTGACCCTCCTGATGTCCTTGGCATGCTGTCTTGCTAGTAGTCCTGTCACTTCTTTCTCGTGTTGTGCGTGGCCAGTCGATGGCCACTGTTACCTTGCCATTTACCATTGCATTTAGAACCATTGCTCTGTGGGTTTTGGGTTTTACTTATCTCATTGTCATAGATCCACTTATTCCTTTCTAAAAAGGCAGCGGCTTCCAGAATGACTAGGGAATAGTCTGAACAGTGACAGAGATGCCTGTTACCCCTCTGACAAGATGGTGTGGTGGGAGAGGGCTCCAGCCCTGGCTCAGGGACCGGCTGGCTCTGTGACCTTGCATGGGTGGAGTAACCTTGATCACTTCATCTTTCTGAGCCTCATCTTCGGGGCCCTTTCAGATCTTTATGTCAATGTGTAGGAGCGATTTTTAAGTTGGTATATGCTTTTTTTTTTATAACCCAGGGAAATTATAGCTGTTTATATTTTAAAACTTTTCATTTAAGCTCCTGTTCCTAGTGTAAAAACAGCACTAGCTACAAGGAATTCATATTTTGTGATTTATTGGGAGTATTATTATGATATCAGAAAATGGTAGTGTTTTTATTAAATATGTTTTTAAAAGGCTTGCTGCATTCTTAAGTGTGATTTTATTATATCTTGGGGTGACTTTTTTTCCCTATGAAGAATAGATCTGTGATTTATAGTAAGCCTTCACCACTGAGGCTGGTCATGAACATATTCTATGGCGTTACATCATCCCCAAAGCGTGAGCTGGCTACAGCAGCTTTCAGGTTTCTAAGCATATTAGAAAGAGACCAAGTTGCAAGGCTCTTTCTAGAAATCAGGGTGACCTGAGACTAGCAATGCCTGTGTCCAGCCACATATTGAGGAATCTTAGGAAGGAAAGGACACTTAGGGATATACCAACCCAACTCTCTTGTCATTTAGATTAGGGAAACTGAGGCTCAGACTTCCCCAGGTAAAAGGCCCAGAGTATTCTTTCCATGTCTGCCCCCCACTCATCCCACATCCCCCAAATGTGAACACATGGCACACACCCAAACCCCTCATCATGCCTGGGGTGGTAGTTTGCTTGTATCAGGATTTGCTTTCCAAGCACCACAGCACCACATGGTGGGAGGGCCGCTGCTAATTCAGCATTCCAAACAGCATCTACTTGCCCCAGACATACTCCAGCTCCCACTAGCTAGGCACTAATACCCAACAGAGAGTTTATTGGCATGATTTCTCCAGAAAAGAGGCTGGAAGACTTAGCAAGTTTAACATTTTTATCAAGAGTCCCAAAGTGCCATCTTTCCCCCTCTCATCATCACCACCAACCCCAATAAGGCTTTCTCTACCACAGGAAATCAGGGCACACAAAGCAGAAACAGCACAGGCCAAACCAGCAGGCACACGATACATTATCGACTCAACCAAGCAAGTGACCACCTAGGAGCCATCTTTGTTAAGGGCAAAATAAGAAGCTCACGAGACACTGGAGGATACAGAGAAGACAGGACTATCTTGATTCTTCTGAAGGAGTGAGGGTGCTGGATGGGATATAAGGGAGACTTTCCTTTTCTGTTTTCTCAGAAAACATGCAAAGAAAGGCTTCACGAACAACTGAAGTTGCATCAGTATCTCCCACACTTCCCTTTTCCAAGATGGCCTCCCCTGCTGTCCAGAGGGAGCGCTCAGCAGATTCTACTGGGCGGGCAGAGAGAGACAGGCAGCAGGAGAGAGATTTAGTGTTCCACAAGGTTGTTAGTTTTGTTTTGTTTTTTTCCTTTATTGATGGGATTTAAAGTGCATATAACTGAAGGCAAAGTCCAAGGCTTAGAGAAAGATATGAGGCCCGAGAGAGAGGCTCAGAGATTCTAAAGGCGGCAGAAGAATACCCACCTAAAAAGGCCACTTGAGCTGCAAAAGGATGGGGCAAAGAGATGGAGAATGGGAAAGAGAGAAAGGGCGTGGGGATGGGGTGGGGGTGGAGGAAGGGGTTTGGGAGGAAGAAGACAAATACTAGTTCAGAAATTCAGCCAAAGATTATTGTAGGAGCTAGTTTACATCCCAGCTATGAAAATATGGGCTGATCTCAAGGTAGGAACACTTGTTTTACGAAATATAAGAAAAATGATAGCCTCAGGCCAGGATACAGCACCCCCGGGCCCTTTGGGTGTTGGTAGTAGTGATGGGTCTTTTCCAAGCCTCTGTCATGGTCTTCCCTGGAGACCCAATGTGGGTCTAAGGAGACTCTATCCATCTAGGAGAAGGCAAGGGCTGGGGACCTTGATCTGGGACACACCCAGAGCTCCCCAATGCAAGGCAACTTCCCTTTGCTACTGGACTGTGGCCGGTGCCCCACTCACCCACACAGGCAGTGCCATCCTCGTTGGGCTCGTAGCCCCGACTGCACCTCTTGTTGGTCCGGCACCTGTAGCTTCCATAGGTATTGACACATACGGGCTTGTCTCGAGGGCACACGAATGGGAACTGGATGCACTCATTGGTGTCTGAAAGACGAGGGAAGCCACTCACCACAGAGGTGTGGGGCAGTGGGTCCTAGCTCAGGCCCTGCCTGCCTACCCACTCTGTGACTGTGGGCATGTCCCTTCTCCTTTATGGGCTTCACTTTCCTTATTTCAGTACCCTTGACTGGCTTCTCCTACACTTGACCTCTACACGTGGGTGGGGGGCGCTTGGTCTTGGTCCTGGGTCTTCTCTTCTATCTGCCATGATTCCTCTAGGGCATCTCTTCATACATGAATGATTCCAAACTTCCTATCTCCAGCCACAACCTCTCCCCTGGGCTCCAGGCTCAGGAATCTAATGACCAATGACCTGCTTGACAGTTCCACTTGGATGTCTAATATGCATCTCAAACTTAATATGTCTAAAGTGGAACTCTAGATTTCCCCTAGCCCTTAAGCCTCTTGTGCCCCCTGTTCCCATCTTCCCTAACTCAATCAATGCCAACGTCATCGACTCAGTCACTCAAGCAGAAGTCGGCGATCCCGGATTCCTCCCTTATCCTACCGTCTGTACGTGATTTCACAGCAGGTGCTGTCCCTTCTGCCCTGCACTACGCCTCTCCTCCACCCATCTTCCCTAACTCAATCAATGCCAACGTCATCGACTCAGTCACTCAAGCAGAAGTCGGTGATCCCGGATTCCTCCCTTATCCTACCGTCTGTACGTGATTTCACAGCAGGTGCTGTCCCTTCTGCCCTGCACTACGCCTCTCCTCCGGCCACCTCCTCCTCACTTCTCTGCCACCGCCCTATTCCCAGCCACCATGCTCTCTTGGCTGAATTTTGGCAGCTGCTCCCTTACTGGACTCCCGGTTTCCACTCTGTCCCCTAGTCCAATCTGCAATTCAGCAGCCAGAGTGATCTTTTAAAAATGTGAATTACATCGTGTCACTCTCCTGTTTAACTTCCAAGGGCTCTAACAATGAAATCGACTCCTCACCAGAACCTCCAGCCCTCCTGGCCTCCCACTCCTGGGACACTCCCAGCCTTTCTCCTGCTTCTTGCCCTTTGCTCCTGTGCTTCCCTCTGCCAGGAAAGCTTTTCCTTCAGCCCCTTTTGGGGCTGGATCTCACCCTTCAGGTCTCATCTCAAAGTTCCCTTCCCTAGAGGCCCTTCCTGACCACTCTGTCTAGAACAGTCTCCAGAGAGCACCTTGCTTACAGGTTGTCCAGCTAGGTGGTCACTGCTTGGGGTCTGTCTCCCTCCACTAGAAGGAACACCCCTCCACAGCAGGGAAATGGTCCGCATCCTGGCATCCAGCATGGCATTTGGTGTGCAGGAGGCATGTAAGTCCCTGCTGGATGATGAGATGGAAGAGGGGGCTGGACTGTGATCTCAAAGGGTCCCTCCAGTGTGCAGAGAAGACTCTGAAATTTCTGTCTGTCTGGAGTGGGCCCGGGTGGATGTGGAGAGTGTAGGGGAGTATTTCCTCCCCCAGCCACCCTTAGCACCATCGCTCCTCCACTTCCTCACCTGCGGTCCTTTGCCCAGGCTGTGCTTCCACCAGAACACCCTGTGCCCTCTCTGTGCTTGTCTAACCGCTCATCATCCCGCGGATACCAGCTTAGACCTCACTTCCTCTGGGCCATCTTCTGGGACCATCCCTAGACTGCTTTGTGCCCCAAGCCCCTGCCTGTCCCTCATCCCAGCCCTGATCACACCGTAGTCATGGGCTGTTAACTTGGGTGCCTCTCCCATCAGCTATAAGTTCCACAAGCAAGCCCTGGGATTGTGTCTGTCTCATTTACTCTTGTATCTCAGCAGCAAATTCATCAGCCCAGGGCTAAGAAGTGGCTGCAGAGTGGACTTCAGAAGGATGCTGCCTGAGGGTCCAAGGGAGGAGGAGTCCTTGGCCTGACCCTCATTGCCACTGGGATGGAAGATGTTGGGTTGAAGGTCTTCTGGACACCAAGCCTCTAGGCTGCCCCCTTCCCATTCTGGGCCCCTTAGGGACTTTCAGAAGGTCACTAGGCTCTCACACAGCTGCCATCGTGGAAGTGCAGCAGCCACCTGCCCCCCAGTACTCACCAGGCTGCAACCTCCCTTCTGTATGGGACCATGCTCCACACCCTGTTTTACCCAAACACCGCCAGCGATGCCCATCCTTGCTGCCGGACCCCCTGCTTGCTGTTCCACTGGCTGGCCATGGCATGTGGCTGCTCCTCCTTCTCCAGGGTGAAGCATGCCCACCCCAGCCACCATGGTCCCATGTCCAGGTGGTGGTGTCTCCTCCCCATGCTCGTCCTCTCAGTATTTATGGCAGGAAGCAATGCCATTTCCCAGAACTGCAGTGATTCAGCCTGTGGCCACTAATATCTCTCCCACCCTGGTGCATCACATGGTGGCTGTCTTGGCATCTGGAGCCCCAGGGAAAAATGACGCCCTTTCCTCCCCACCTATCCACCCCTTGTCCGTACCCTGGACCTTGCCACGGGTCAGGCCGACATTCCCCAGGGAGGTCCCAACTGCTGCCCCATCCCCTGGTGCCTGCAACTCACCCATGCAATGGCCATTTTCCTGCTGGGAGAATCCTTGGCCGCACTACAAGGGGGCAGAAGCAGAGATACCAGTGAGTTGAGAAGGTTCCAGCTCAGATCCCCTCCTAGTTGTGAGGGGTGCTCTTAGCTCTGGACCTGGGGGAACCCCCTCCCTTCAGGGACCTCCTTCCCTTGCACTTAGAATCGGAGCCTGGGGGGAAGGCCAATGACCGATACAGTTCATTTCCCTGCAGATGGGATCCAGGTGCCTGGGCTGGGACACCTAATGACCTGTCTCACCCGCAGCATCGCCTGAGCCTGGGGCTGGTCCTTCAGGGCCAAGTGTAATGAGGGTTGGGAGATACTTTTTGGGGTGTCTGCTCACTGCCCACAGTCCCTTCTCTGAGGCTCTTCCCCCTCACAGGGCTGGGCACCTGCAAGCCTTGCTTGTGTCCCTCCTCTCTTGCCAGAGCTCACGGGACTAGGGGCAGACATCCCAGCAGGAGGGACGAATCAGAGGCTTGGCAGCTATGATTTGAACTAATTGACACTAAGACATAGAGTTGGGAGCTTCTCATGTCAGGCTGTGCTGGTTCTACTATGTCTACATGGGGGTTTCAGAGACAGCAGCCTGGTGCTGGGGTAGGGGCGCTGGAAACTTAACACTTTACTTACACAAGACAGAAAATGCCAACTGTCCATACTAACAGATGAGGGGGCTGATGGGGATCACTGGGGAAGGTAATCCTCCTCTCCTCCCAAAGCCAGTACACCGATGACAAGGTCCTTGGGCTCCTGGGGCTAAGGCCATTGGGCTGCCAGGGTTCCTACTCATCCTGAGCTTCTCCTTGGATTTTGTGAGCTACCCTGAAACCTCTTTATATGTCCCCTTCATTTGTGTGAGTTTGAGTGGGTTCCTGTGACTTGCAACTGAGTGATCCCCGTCAGAGTTAGAAGGACACTCCAGAACTTATTGCAAAGCTGCTCTTCAAAGAGCCCTCAGAGGCCCTGCTATGGAGTCTGAGCCTCACCCTTAGGGCAACAGGAGGCCTCAGCAGAGACGTGGACAGAACCAGGAGGGCAGCAGGAGGACTGGGGTCAATTCTTAACTCTGCTCACAACTGGCTGTGTAGACTTTAGTGGGCCTTGGAGGGTTCCCTCTCTTGGCCTCAGTTTACCTCCTCTGTAAAATGGGTGCAAACACACTTGCCCTGGCAATATGCCTGGATTTCAGTGAGGAGTATTAGAGATATGGGTGTGATAGTGTTGTGCAAATTACAAATGAAGGGATCATCATGAAGACTTTGCTGAGAAGATTTCTGTCATTGCAGAGGCTAAATCTGCAGATTCCTGGGAACCCAGCTTCAGCCCATGGGGTTGTGGGTGGTGCTTGCTTTTCTGGATATGAGGCCTACCTCCAGTGGGGCTGGATCTTGAAGTTTCTCCTCATCCTGGGGGTAGGGGATCTCCAGCACCGAGTTCATTTCCCCACTGGCCACGCTGCGGCTCACCATCTTGCCATCTGGCCACGTCACCTCCACGCTGCTGGCTTCATCCTTCCCTGTGGGATGGACGGAGGGAGGGGCAGCAGCAGAGGAGAGCAGGGGGCTCTCAGCCGAAGCACCGGCATTAATGTATTCAGTCATTTAATAAAAACAGTAACTGAGCACTGTTCTAAGTGAGTGCTAGGGAAATGGTGAATGGACGGATTGCAGGTCCCTCATCTTTAGCATAGCGTTGTCCAATAGAGTTTTCCACAGTGACAGGAATGTTCTATATCTGTGCTGTCCAATATGGTAGCCACCAGCCACCTGTGGCTGTCCAGCACTTGAAGTGGAACTAAGATGACCGAGGAGTTGAAGTTTAAATTTTATTTAATTGTAATTAATTTACATTAAAATAGGCACACGGCTAGTGGCCACCATAATGGACAGTGCAGTGCTAGCACTTACATTCTAGTAGACAGGCCAACTGGCATGAGGCTGTATTGGGGAGAGTGGAAGGCCTGGTGCCAAGCAGGTTGACTTTGGAGTCCGGGTTCAAATCTTGGCTCTACCACTTCCTTGATAGGTTGAAAAGAACATGCTGGAGGGTGGGCAGCTGGGAGACCTGGGGACAAGTCCCACTCTCTAGCTGACTTGCTGTGTAACCCTGGACACAGCTCTTATATTTGGGGAGCTCTACTAAGGGCCAGGCTCAGTTTTGTCACTGGGGATGTCCTTGTTCTCATGGAGCTTCCCCTGGAGTAGGGGGAGACAAGCAAACATGAACAAACCAATAATGTCAGATATTGACAAGCTCTGTGAAGTCAACAAAGATAGGGCAACGGGGTCGAGAGGACCTGGGGTGGGCTGGGGCCTTTCTAGCTGGTGTGTCAGGGACAGCCTCCTGGGAGGGGACATTTGAGCTAAGCTCTAAATAAAAACTTGGAAAAGATGGGGTGATAAAGAACCAGAAGATAGAGGGTCTGGGAGAAAGACCGTTCTACAAAGCTGAGATGTTTACAAAAGATAACGGTGACACTCCGAGAATATTCATGGTGAATCCATTCACACACATCCCTAAAGCAACGTGTTACATCACAGGCAGCAAGCAGCTTGGAAAGATTTGTCAGGTGTTTAGGCATTGTCAAAGCCCGCCCCAGCTCCCTGCGTGAGGAAGCAGGCCCATCACTGTGGCAAGGTCAGGCTAATGGTGATGGATGGGGTGGGAAGAGCGGGCTGGGCCTCACCTGCAGGGAGAGGTTGTTCTCCCGATCAGTCACCTGGGAAGGAGGGCAGTGCTCAGCACTGAGGGCGGGGACGGTACAGCCCCCTCCTTATCCTCACCTATAGGTGACCAGATGTGGGCATGGTGCTCGGGGTGGGGCACACGAGGGCTTCAAATCCATATACTCCCCCACCCATCATTCCTGGGCTGAATAAATAATACATCGCACCCACACGCATGCACTACTATTTTTCCTAGTGTACGTAGACACTGTTGGAAAACAAATTAAATGTAAAAGTGCTGTTGAATTGATATCAGCTTTTGGTCATTACTCTCCACCCAGGGATTTCACAAGGATCGCCACAGGCAAACTTTGAGGAGAGTCTACATGCAGAGGTCCGGGGCAGGGCTGAGCCAGGGTGCTGCCAGGACCCAGCTACATCTTTCTCCCCAGAATGCCAGTGGGGGGTGGGGGCTTGCAGAGGGAGTTACACCTTGTGAACCCCGTCACCCAGCTTCCATCCTCCCTGTGTTTGGTTCCCTTTCACCAGCTTGTTCTCCCCGCCACCCCAGCTCCCCGGCCCCGCACTGTCCCCGCAAATGTTCAGGCCTCACTGCAGCTGGGCTGTGAGTTCGGGAGGGCAAGGACCAGCTGCCACACTCTGGAAGAGTCCAAGCAGGCGCAGCCCCTGCCCCTGTGGGGAGAGGCTGGGGCGGGGGCAGAGACTCGCATTCAGTGCAGTCTCTCCGCCACAGGCACCTCTCCTTCCAGGCCAGCCTCACTGGTTCCAGGGTTTGCTTTACCCGGGGCCGGAAGATATTTCTCATCAATCCCTATTCCACCATTCTCTCAATCTACAATAACAATTTCTTCTGGGGGAGGGGGTGCCAACTGCAGATTTTTTTCTGTTGGAAGTAGAATCTTGAGGTGCAAGAAATTTAGCATTTTTAGGGTGTACAGTGCTCAAAATAAGGGGCACATGTAAAAAGTAAACATTTTCCAACTAAAAAAAGAAAAAAAGGAGACATAGAAAAGCAAATGTTTCTCACCTAAGCCAAGAGAACAGCTACATGAATACATTTTCCAGCCTGACTGAAGTGCCACAAATAACTCAACAGAGTTGCCAAATATTCATGGACAATCACAAATTTACATCTTGTGCTTGCAGAACATAGTTCCGAGTCCTGCTTCCTGCTTCCTCCAGACCCAGGGAGGGGCTGGGACCATCACACGCAGCAGGACTCCCTCCTCTGCAACTGATTATTTTGCTAACCTGGACATCCTTTCTGGCCTCAGTTTCTCCATCTGTAAGATGGGGGCGCTGGCGTGGAGTCCTAACACTCATGGGAAGCACAGCCTCCTTGCCTAGAATATGAGCCCTGCCCCGCTGATTAATCATCACCCTCAGCATCCCCATCACCTTCAGCTCTTAGACGTGGGGTCACCCTGAGGTTCCTAAAGGGCTTTCACTTGTTAGTAATAACAGTGAACACTTACAAGGTGTCCCAAACTGTACACCAAGTGCTTTCTAGCTGAGGCCTGGAGGGGCAACGTGAATTATCCACTTACCCAGCTCAGGTCTGTCTAATACCAGAGCCCGTATCTGCTCCACCCGTCATATTGCCCACCCACCCCCACCCCCAGCAGTCCCCATGTGCCAAGCATCGCACGGGGATCTGCGATTCAGCAGTAAGGGAGACAGACCCAGGCCCCATTCTGGAGCATCTGATTCCCATGGGAGCAACGAACACAAGTGATTACATTATAATAAACTGGGAAACTGCAGCAGTAGCACTGGTGTCACCTGGTGAGAGAGATGGACCACTTATTAGGGGATTGCAGAGGAATAAGAGTTTGTGAGGCAGAGAAGGGAAGGAAGGAGCAGTGCAGGTAGAGGGAACAGCATCGGCAAAGGTACAGAGGAGAGAAAGGGTGTGGTGCGTTTGAAGATCAAAGTGGGGGAAGCGGAGTGTGAGAACGTGTATTAGGTGGGGTGGGTGGGAGAGAAGACTGAGGAGGGACTTGGGAGACTTTGCACCTACAAGGTGGACATTTTGTCCCCATTCTCCAGATGTACACATTGAGGCTTGGCTAGGTGAAGTGACTTGCAGATGCCTGAACAAGGACTGGAACCCTGTCTCCTGTCTCAGGCCCAGCTGATCCCTCTGCCCCAGGCTGACTGTGAGAATCTCAAGTCTTCACAAAGCTGCTCAACCAAGAGCGGCCCAGCTCCCAGATGCTGCACAGCAGCAGCCTTCAAGGCAGCCAGTCTGCCAGGCCTGTGTGTAGGGGAGGGGTGAGCAGAGAAGGCCCCACTAACCAGCAGTGACAGGAGCTTAGGAGCACCGGTGAGTTGCCTCTGGCAGCTTTTAAAGGACAAAGGCCAAGGCAGCACAGAGAGTTGCGCTTTTCGGAAGAATTACAAGCAAAACAGATGGTGAGAATACAGTCGGTGGAATATTTTTGCACTTCAATAAAGCAATTTTTATGTGGGCCACTGAATTTTCCTCCCCTAAATGAGCACCAGCCGGCTTGGAGGCAGCTCTGAGTCACCTCAAACAGTCAGCTGCAAGGAAGGTGGTGTGTGTGGGTGGGGCAGCCTGAGCCGTGACCCCTCGTAAGGGTAGGCGGGGGCAAGTAGGTTGTTGGCGCTTGCTTTTATTTTCTGGGCCCGGTAGTGAGCTGCTTCAGCCTGCTGTCAGCCAGGAAACAGAGAGTCAGGGTGTGAGACCTGCGGGGGTGGGTGTGCAGGGGCTGGGGATGGGTTCAGAGTGACCAGGGTGGGGCGGGGAGCACTCATCAACAGCTGTAAGCAGAATCACTCGCTTATGAGCCTGGTGGTTGGTCTGCACCCAGGGCAGGGTGGAGAAGGGCTGCAGAACCTGGTCAGGGGTTCCACTGAGCATGGGTGGGGCCGCCTGAGAAGGGACTGGTCTGCAGGATGATGCTGAGACCGCTCTGTATGACATAGTGGGCCATCTGGGAACCCCTGAGAACAAAACACTGCAAGGTTCCTGAGTTTTTTATTGTATGATGTGATGCAGCCCAGGCTGCAGAGGGAGTTGGGGAGCACAGGGAAGGGTCTGTTTCCTCTGTGGTTGCTCACACCTGGAGTGTTCAGAGAGGCACCTGCTGGCAGGTGTGCCCAGCGAGTGCAGAGGTCAGCTGGACGCATGCACAGAGGGGAAGGAAGGGCCGAGGAGGCTGTCTGCTGAGAGGCGCACTGTGCACACTCTCACATGTGCACGTGGTGGACACACTCAGCACACCTTGCTGCAAGCAATTTATGGAGGGAGGCAGGGAGCAGGGTCCCCTGGGGCGAGCCGGAGCCCTGTGAATGTTGGCAGGGGGGCTTCCTGCAGCCCTCTCCCCTTCAGCCTCACCTTCCCTGCCCAGCCTCGGCCCCACCTCACCTCAGTCATGCAAACCTCAAGGCAGGCCTTTCTTGGATTCTTGTTCTAGACATCCCCTTCTCACCCCAAACTGCTCAGAACTGGAAACATTCTAACTGTCCATCAACAGGGGACTTGGTAAATAAATTATGAAGGCTGATGCCCAGTGAAATACTCTGCAGCTCTAACAGAAAACAAGAGATATGCACAGACTTGGAATGATGTCCAGGATGCATTGTTAAAGGAAGAAAAAAAGAACAATTGTTATGGGAACAATTGGATGAATATCATCATTTTTGTTAAAAAAATCCCAAGTAATATACATCTGTAAGTGTGTTCCCATGTACATTACATGTAATAAAAGCACATCAAAAGCATGCAAGTGTGAACAGGCCGCCCGGACCACCAGACCACCGTATTTGAGATTGCTTTTGTCCCTCTTCCTCCACATTCCTAACCTCCTCTCCCTGTTCTGCATTTTCTTTCTTCTTAGCACTAATGTCTCCTAACATTTTATATACCCACCTATTTGTTGTGTTTATGATGTATTTGTGTTTCTCCTCTTTCCACGAACATATAAGATCCCTCATGGCAAGGATCTTCGTCTAGTTAGTGCTTGGCACATAGCAGGTGCTCAGTAAATATGTATTGAATAGACGAATCAAATGGTATTGGGGGAGGTTGAAGGGAGAAACACTTACTTTTAAAAATTCCACCCATAGTGGTGAGACTATGGGTGATTTTTACTTCCTTTTTTCCAATTTGTTATATTTTCTGATTTTCCTGTAATCAATATGTATTGCTCTTACTATCAGGAAAAAAAAGGCTTCTAAGAACAATCACAAATGCTGCTTGCACTAGGGACCCTGGTGCTGGGACACCGTCCCTGCTAGTGGCTTCCAGGTCCCCTCTGCAGCACTGCCACTCACAGCAATGCCGGGCTTTGGCTTTCCCAAACATGCCCCAGCCTGCCCGTCTGCCCTTGCAGCCTGGTCCTGGAAACCTCAGACAGTCAGCCCGGCCTCCCTTTCCAGGCTCCGCTCCCACCGGACTGCTCCCATTCCTTGGACCAAACACTCCCACCTCTGGGCCTCTGTGCAAGCCAGCCTGCCCCCAGAGTGCTCTCCTCAGCCCCCATCCATGCATCTAAATTTCTACCCTCTTCCTAGATCTAATTCCCATCCCACTTCCTTGGAAAAGCTGCCCAGAGCAGAACTAATTTCTCTTGCCCCGTCCTCTGATGGTCACAGGGCCAGTGTGATGGTGCCTCTGAATCTGCCTTGTGTGAGAGCTCCCGTGTCCATCTGCCCCTTCTGCTGGACTGTGAGTCTGGAGGGCAGGGGGCATTCCTTCCCTAGGCCCCATATCTGTCTGTCTTACCCCTTGTTCTCTCTCTTCCCTCGATCCTTCCCTCCACCTGGCCTTCCCCACTGGCTCTCTCTCTTCCTGCTCCCTTGCTGGCTCCTCCATCAATCAGGAAGGCCTGTGCTATGCTGGATCTGCAAAGGAGACCCTCCTGGGACCATGAGGGGCCTTGGAGCTGCAGGGACCTGCCTGCCCCTCACTGTGTCCCAGGATGCTGGCCCTGCTACCTGCTGAGCTGTCTCGGAGTCTCAGGGCTGATCTCAGTTGACCCAGAAGCCTGTCCCTACAAGCAGCCTTCCTTAGAGTGCCTCCCTGGGAGTGGATCCCACAACAGAGAGAGGCCTACCCGGGAACCCTTTGGAACAGTTTGAGACAGAGTTCAAACAAGAACAAATGCTGTAGCCCTGCAAGATAGCAAGGACTGGCAGTCCGGAGGGGCTTCCAACCAGGTGCAGTGACCTCCCCTGAGTGTGGGAGGGAGATGGCCCAGCCTCGATCCCATCAAATGACCTGGCCAAGGCTGCCCAGTGGAGGAAGCAGGTCTGTTCTCCTAGCAGGGGCAGATTCTGGCCAGAGAAGGGGCCCAGTGTGGCCCATAATACGCACCTTAAAACAGCAGAGGCAGCCCATGCAATGTGGGGAAGGAGAACCTCAGCCTCAGTCCTGGCCTCACCACCGATTTGCTATGTGAGCCTCAACTTCCTTATCTGTACAGTGGGGTGGGGGTTAATGTCCAACCAGATACCAGGATAAATAGCCCATCTGTGATACCATGGCAGTTGCCTTGGTGCTTGGATGGCCTCACTTGGGTCACCTGGTAATTGAGGGGACATGGCTGTCCAGTAAGAAAGAAGCAGAGCAGAGGACATTGGTAGCTGCACACAGAGCGGCTATGGAAGGTGGTGAGTGGCAGCATCAGGAACTCAGGCTGCAGTGCCCAAGGGGATGGTGTCTGAATCCAGCCCACCCTACTTAACCTCAGCCTCAGTTTCCTGACCTGTAAAATGCAGTTTATGATACCTAATTCATCAAGTTGTGCTGAGAATTGAATGAAGTATCTTATGCAAAGCACTTAGCACAGTGCCTGTCACACAGTAAGTGCTCGATAAACGTCAGCTACTGCTATTTGGCAAAAGTGGGCTATATATTTGAAAGTCATCTTGTGCCTTTAAGGCTAACAAAGCAAATGGCTGCCTTAGGAGTGATAGACGCTCCAACCTCAGGCCAACCATCCAGGGTGAAATAGCCAGAGAACAGGCTCATAGAACCAGGCCCTGGGTCCCATAAATATTTATTGCTTCTTTTTCAGACCACATAAATATTATGTGTTCCCCATAAAAATTGGAGCACACACACACAACAAAACATATGGAAGAAAATAAAGATCACGTACTCAAGCAGGGTTTGAATCCCAGCTCTGCCATTTAAGTATCATGTGACCTTGTGCAGGCTTCTTAATCATTCTGATCCTCCGTTTTCCCATTTGTAGAATGGGGTAATAATGCCCATCTCACAGGGTAGTCATGAGGACTCAATGAGCCAGAAGAATGAAGCGCTTAGCTCCATCCGGAGTGAGTGAGAGTTACTGCATTAACCCAGCCACCGAGACAGAGTCACTCTTCACACGTTTTCATTTTCTTTCAGTATTTTCTATGCACACATGATGTGTGTATAATGTTAATGTATGTATTTACTAATTTGAGACTATATTGCCTATACTTTTTATATCGAAATTATATCACCTTGTGAGGCGCTAACACATGGGGGTAAAGTGTCTGATTTTGAACCTAGGAATATTTGACTCAAATGCTTTCTTTTTTTGTTTGTTTTTGGTGGCTGGCTGGTATGGGATCCAAATCATTATGTTGGTGTTGCAAGGCTGTGCTCTAACCAACTGAGCCAACCAGCCAGCCCTCAAATGCTTTCCTAACCACTGTGTTTAGTAAAGACACTCCTGGCACCCCCCAGTGTTTCTCAACCTTTTTTCCCATTGTTGTAATCCCTCTCTGCCTTAGAAAACTTTTTCCCCTAATCCTTCCCTCCCCATGCATTTCTTTAAGTACGTTTTATTTTGAAACCATTATAGATCCACAGGACATTGCAAAGATAGTACAGAGAGGTCCAGGTACCCTTCACTCAGTTTCCCCAGTGGTTACAGCTAACGTCACTACAGTACGATATCAACAGCAGGGACTCAACAATGGTGCAAGGTGTGTGTATAGTTCTATGTCATCTGTCACGTGTAGATTTATGCAACCATCAGTCAAGATACAGAAATGCTCCAAGTCCCACAAAGATTCCCTCAGGCTATCCCTTTACAGTCTCATCCACCCCTCTCCTTTCACCATCTCTAACCCCTGGCAACCACCAACCCGTTCTCCATCTCTATAATTTTGTCCTTACAAGAGTGTTATGTAAATGGAGCCATACAGTATGTGACCTTTCGAGATGAGCTTTTTATCACTCACCATTACGCCCTGGAGATCTATTCAAGTTGTTGCGTGTATCAATACTTTATTCTTTTTATTGCTGGTACAGTGTGGATATATCACAGTTTGTTGAACCATTAACCTATTGAAGGTTGTTTCTAGTTTTTGGCTATTAAATATAAAGCTACTATAAACAATAGTGTAAAGATTTTTGTGTGGATGTAAGTTTTTATTCCTCTGAGATAAATGCCTAGGGACATAATAACTGGGTCATATAGCAGAAGTTGTACGTTTAGTTTTGTTTTGTTTTTAAAAAGAAACTGCCAAACTATTTTCCCGAATAGCTATACCATTTCACATCCCCAACAGAAATGTATGAGAGATCCAGTTTCTCCCATCTCTTGAAGCTACCTGATCCTTGCCAGCATTTGGTATTCCCATTTTTTATTCTAGCTGTCCTAACAGGAATAGGTGTGTCGTGATATTTCATTAATGCCACAGACATACTGTATATCTGTTTATGTGCCATATGTACACTGGTGCTTTTATACATAGAAAAAAGACAGGATTTTTCATCTCCCCTCCCCTGCCAAGAACCAACTCTTCACTCCTGTTGAAAACATGTGGCTCCCCAAGACTTCTCTCCAAGAGAAGTTATCAGGGCTTTGGGGTGACACTGTAAAGACTGAACCAACTCCCAAGAGGCCAGGGAAGCAGCTGTTTTGGACAAATCTGGTGCAGAGCAGGATCTGAAGACCAAGGCTACAGCCTTGGACAAGCAGAGAATTAATACTCGGACCGCAGGGTAAACTAATTCTACAGAGGCATTGGGGTGGGCACTCTTGCCAGCGAGGAGCATGGAAACTTAACCAGCATTTCCCACTCCCTTCCCCTGGAGCTCAGGCTCATCTCAGAGCAGGGCTGCCTCCCGTGGCTGGCATCCACCATGGCTGTCCGGTAAAGCAGCACCCTGAAGATGCCTGGGCTGTTACTCGGCACACTGCAGTGCTCACTCTCAGGACCCGCTGTCCTGATTACAGCTCACTGTCCCCCACCGGGCCCCGACTCACCCAGGCCGAAGTGTGCCACAGGCTCCATCTCGCACAGGTAGCCCGAGCCCCCGTCGATGATCCTCAGGTGGGCCCCGCTCTTCTTGGTGTAGAGCACGACCTTAGCCCCCCGGGCAAAGGCCCCAAATCGGGTGCGAGGCACCACTCTCAGCCAGTTGTTGCTGAAGCCCTGTAGGGAGGGAGAAAAGCAGACCCGGCATCAACGTGGTGGGCAGGAGGAGCAGGGAAGCAGGGGTGCTGTGGAGGTGGGCGCCAGGGGCCGGGGGAGGACAAGAGGGGCAGAGGAAAGAGAGAGGAAGAAGCAGCCGGGAAGGGGAGGTGAGCAGGGAAAACACGGACTGGCTGAAGGAAAAGAGGCCGTGGAGGAGGAGGAGGGAAAAGCCAGGTGACTTGGGAAAACAGGTTTGCATAAAGTGACAGTGGCGGGCAGGGGCGCTGAGGGCTTCTCCTGGGAGGCAGCCCTTCGTGAGGTTTGCTGTGCTGCTGGGAACTGACTTGCTTCCTCCACGCCCGGGATTTCCATGTCCCGCCACGCTGGACAAGCGAGCGTCGGGCTCCTTTGCTCCCGTCTGCCCTGGACCCAGGAGAGCCAGCAGGCTGGGGTCTGGGTCCTGAGGTCTATGCACACC